TTGTTANATTTATTTATTTATTTATTTATTTATTTATTTATTTATTTATTTGATTGATTGATTGATTGATTGATTGATTGATTGATTTATACCCTGCCCATCTAGACCGAAGTCTACTCTGGGCGGCTAAATGTTTAACTTGCCTGCTTCTTACTCAAAGGATGAGCCACTACTGTTTAAAAATCTAGAACAGCAATGCATTGGCAAAGGAGAGATGGAGTGCTCTGTTTCATTTTGCCATTCGATGTGCTTTGGCCGAGTTTCATTTCCTTCACAGTCAGTAGAGAAAACAAGAGAGCTGACAAAGGAGAAACAGAATGCACTGGGCCTCCATTGCCAGGCTGCTTGCTCACTTGGAGGACATTTCTGACACTTGCCCATGTGGATTCAGCAACCATGGAAATCATTAAAAACAAGGCTGAACTTTATGACAGAAACCACGTACACTTTTTCCAGTGCTTTATAGTCTTATTGTGGTGTTAAAATAACAAGCAATATTAGAAGCTCAAGAAGAACAAAGTCCTAGGTCAAGGCTGTTCTGAAATTCCCTTCTGTGGATATTCAAGTCCCATAACCCAAGTCTCTGAAGCATCAAATGATGCCACCTAATCACCACATAAAAAGCCAACACGGGCAGGCAATGTTTCAAAGAAGGGGATAAATAAACCAACCGCAAAACCCAGTGAAAGCAATAGACTGTACTTTTTTTTATCCAAAAACAAATTTATCTGTAAGTTGCAACAATGCTTTTTGGCAACAATGTCTCCATTTGTTAACATTTCAAACTGACCTTTAAACAAACTCCTCCACTCACTGGTTAATTATTATTGCAGCCACCAAAACAACCTCCACAAAGGGAGCCCAAGATAACAACTCCTATTCTCTCTGGCTGAATGGTTACTACAAATGAGGATAATTTTCAAAACATCAAGCAGACGTCAGAGAAGATCCAAAGTCACACAACACCTAAGCCGAACTAGTTTTTTCTTTTTTTTACAAACATTTTGTCTGTCTAAGCATGCTTCTGCAGATGAATGAAGTGATCGTGCATGAAGAGATCAGTGTTAGGCTTCTGTTTCTCAATTAACAATCTACCATGGTTGCCTCTGAAACACTGGCAAGCTTCAAGGCCAGCTTACAACATGTCACGGGCACTGGGAGGACTGTTTAAAAAAAGAAAGAAAGCTAAAAATCATTTTGTAGGTGTGCATAACACCTTTCATTTCTGAAGCAGCTATTTGGAATTCAGCCACAAAAGAAATAAAAGGAGGATCCTGCATGGGCTTCTATATATGTTTCTTTCCGCCTACTGCTGCTCACAATGATGTCAATCAGAAAACAGATCTGCCAAACATTTCATCATTCATGATCTTCCACTTTCAGCTTGGAGGCAGAAGGAAACCTCAAAAAGCACACCAATTTCATGTTGCCACAGCAGCAACAACAAGAATCAAAATAAAGAAGGAAACTGTTTCCAAAACACAGTTGTTGGCAAGTATTGAAAATATCTTCCATGTGTTCTGCTCTTGGAAGACAAGTGGGTGGTGGAAGGAACTGGGGAGGGGAGCATGCCAAGGAAAAGCTCCAAGCCTAATTTTGTAACATTTATAGTTCATTTACTATGCATTTAGATGTTTATCCCAGTCAATGTCACAGAAACCGTGTCTTCAGTAGGACTAAAACCAAGCTATGAGTTACAGATCAAGCACAGAACCATTTCAGATATGAACAATCCTGCTTCTTCACCCTAGTTAAAACTCAAACCCAAGACCAATGTAACCTCCACTCAAAAAACTCAAACAGAAGGGTCTTGCAATAGGGTGGATTTGATTTAAACGAAACTTTTAAATCACGATCTAAATACTTTAAATTGGATTTTTTTTCATGGTTTAAATAAAAAAAATGGATTTAAATATTATGGATTTAAATTGTGATTTAGATTGATTTTTTAAAAAAACACACATTGATTTTTATTCACTCTGCCTGTGAGCAACATTGCTAGTGGAAATTGCTCATACTTGGGCAAAGAAAGACATGACAGCCATCACGACACAAATTACACTTTCCTGTAGGAGAGACTTGGGTCACAAGCAATCTGGCCAAGAGGGAACTGGGGCAGTCCCAGTGGCCAGAGCAGAACAGGGAGGAAACAGGCAACCTTGCTAATTTTGGAATTCAAATGTAGATTTAATAAAGAGCATTTTATACCATGCTTAGAAGGCAAATTAAACGAGGGCAGGTGCTCACACATTGTACTGCAGATTACCCATTCCTACAAGGTAGCAGGTCACTATGTTCTATACCAGGGTCCCCAACCCCCAGTCCGCAGACCGGTCCCGGTCCGTGCCAGGAATGGGCTGCGGAGACAAATCTTCTCCCCTCCGCATGTGCAGATGCACGCAAGGCCCCTCTCACACATGCACGGCCCTTCCCAATCAGACAATCCCTCCCATTTCTCCCACTCACGCACGGCCCCTCCCACACACACACGACCAGGCCCCCTGCCCCTCTCACACCCACACGGCCCTGCCTGCAGCCCCTCCCACTCATGCATGACCCCACCCACAGCCCCTCCCACTCATGCATGACCTCACTCACAGCCCCTCCCACTCATGCACAGACGCCCCCTGCCCCCCCGCATGCTAAACTGGTCCGTGGAGGCAAAGAGGTTGGGGACCACACTAATTACTGCACTGAACATTCATACACTGTAGTAGCCTGATCACACCACTAGAGTGACTTGTGTGAGGAATGAATAGTCTGAATTAAAAGGAAAATGAGGTATTTATACCAATGGAGTTGGCAAGAAGTGTTCCTGGTTGCTACCACCACTGCAATATTCAAGGCACAGCATATACCACTCAGGAGACAGAGGAATCTGAATCTTGTCATTGATTCTAATCCCACCACCACAAGGTCCAACAAGTTATTTTGCTTTAGGGCAGAAGACTACATCCAGCCTGTGAGTGGTCCCAAACTGGCCCATAAAGGATTTCAGGGATGCCCTCTTTTCCACCAAAGACAGATCCCCTGTGGAATTCCTTCCCCAGTCTCTTTCAGCTGTAGATAACAGAAATTCCTCCAAAATATTCCGAATGGGGAGGCCAGCAGCATGTAAGAAATTTTTTTGTTGTTGTTTCATCTAAAATCAGAGATAATACCAGGAAGCTTCAGAGTGACTGAAGCGACCCAATGTGCTGAGTGGGCTTCTGGAGTGATCCTGCACCCACCGCCTGGATTTAAGGGCTGTAACCATGGCTCCCCAGCTGCAATGCCAGTTAGACTCAATCCTGCAACTAGGAAACTTCTAACATCATGAGAAAATACCTAGGGACATGACATAAAAGATGCGGCCAAGTCCCTGACATCATTTCCATACAATCCAGCACTCAAAGAGTTGCTTCTTCACCCTTGTTTTTGCAGAAGAGACAGAACTCAGAACTCACACTCAACAGATGAAACAGTTCCTGTGTCAATTCTCTGCCTCTCCAGGGACAGCCGAGAAAGGCTTCTGTTGGACATGCAGATCCCTGCCAATCAGTGAAGAGAATACTGAGCTAGGGAGATGGGTGCTTTGACTTGGCATAAGGAAGATTCCTATGTTCCTAAAACCCCTCTCACTCGGCCTCCCAGCACATAAAAGAAAACAGAATACCACTCAGCCTCCCACCACACGAGCAGAAGAATCTTGGGAAATGAAAAAGGACAGAGACACAAAGTGTAATGTCATCAGCAGAGTGAGAATATTTTCACACTCTTTCCACTAGTCATTCTGACTACTTCAAGTAACAAATGGAGCCTGGCTTTGATTTCCCATCTCCTCCCACTCCAGGGAAGTCTAACTGTATACATTCTTCAAATTCTCGCAGCAGTGTTATTATGTGTAACAGAAATACATTCAAAAGTAATCAGGGTACCTTCCACTGTTCTTAGCTTATGTCCCATGTTTGGTATGAGCTCAATTACTCTGCCATGTAGCGAGCAACACAGGGAACAACGATCATATGATCATGGTAAGACTGAGTCAAAACTCCATATTCTCACTGACTACTAACCAGATCAATTTCATGTTGATTTTAACACAAGTAATTGTGAAAAAAAACAGAGATCAAGTTATATACAACTAACAAGGCAACTGCCTCAGAATACTTCTATATACTGCAATAAAATGTGACAGAAAACTTTTTGTTACTGCCCAACACAATATTTAAAAAATATGCCACAACACTAATGTTGGGCTGGATGGACAACCGGGCTGATCTGACATAAGCAGCTCCTTATATTCATCTCTCTAGTTCTATGTCAGTTTAGTTTTTCATTTTAATCCAGTATCAAAATTTATAGGACTCTCCCCCACAATGAAGGGTACACACAGTGGGCATTAAATTTGTTTCTTATTATTTCACAGGTTTGGGGGTATGTATTAAAGGTTAAGCTTGTCAACTGCTTGGCATTATTTCTGATTTAGCCCCCGAGTCATATTACTGTATATTACTTTGCAGAGAATGCAACATAGTTGCATTCTTTCTTAAACAGAAGGTATAAAATGTTCAGAGAATGTGTTAAGAGTCCATACATTACTGTTTATAAGCACACCAAGAAGAATAACAGAAATACGATCACCATTTAAAGACACCTTTTGCTTTAACATGGCACACAGCAAACAACCTGAAACCTGGTGAAACTATTATTGTCTGTCAGGAGGTTAAGGCCACTACCACTTGCCATTCACATCACAGAGAACAGTCAGGACGCAGAACAACTGGTTTAGGAGGAATATGCCAGGGTTATGAAAGACCCATGGAATATACAACTGAGATGGAATAGCAAAGAATAAAACTAACCCATATCACTGGGAGAGGCAGCAAAATGAACAAACAAACAAAGCACAAAGGCATACAAAACACACAATACTGAATAAAATATATATTCCTGTTAAAATCCAGCTTATGCCTGGAATCTTCAAAAGGTAATCCAGTCAAGTGTCCAAGTTTACTTACCTGCAGCATACTGACAATCTCGACTTTGTTAAAGAAAATGAAAGAAGTGAGCGTAGAAAGAAAATTCTCTTCAAAAACAGATGGGGTTGGCAAGATGATGTCCTGAATATACTGTACCCTGTAAGTCTGATGAATCTTTTGCCTAAGTTCAGAGTCTGTTATAGGTATGACCTCTTTAAACTTTGCTGTTTTGGTCAAGAATTCCCTATGCCTTTTCGGCTGAGCTAATGCAGGGTCATACTCGAGGCATCCCACAACATCCATAATGCACTCATCTGAAAACATAACCTCAAAAAGAGTTGCTTTATTGAGGAATAAAATTCCTCGAATAATTTCATACAAATGATGTAAGCCTTCAGTATTTTCTAGGTTCTCACAAAGCTGGAACAGCTGCAGCAATTTTTTAATGTAGCCTTCGTTTTCCAAAGCCAAGGCTAATTTTTCTCTACGAATGGGTGATGAAAGAACTGAGGTAACAAGGTCTGCAATCTCTTCAAGTTTGTTGAGTTCACAAGTAGGGAGATCAATTAAGTGACTTGTTTCAGGCATTTCCTCAAATCGTTCTTCTTCAGATTCATCAATGAGGTCCTGTGTGACTTCCACTGAAGGGTCTTTACCTTGTACCTAAAACAGAACACGAACAACTGCTGATTCACTGACAAACACACTGGTAACTGAGGATGGTGACCAAAAAAGGGAAAAACCAATCACTTGATTACTAGGGATGGGGATTTGAATCGTGGTACTCGCTGTAAAGTCAGTGAATCACACCAGTGATTCGACTCGGACTCAACTTGTTTCCCCCCTCCTCCTACTCAAAGACTCAGATCCGACTCGCAACTCAAAACCCACTCACCCCTCCCTTTTTTCTGGGAAGAAAAAAGCCTGTAATTAATAGGGACTTCGCCTTGGGCCTTAGGACATGGTACCAAAACCTCAAAACTTGAGACTTGTACCAAAGACTCAGGACTCGAACCCAAAAACCTGCCAATATCTCTGTTGATTACTGTACACAAAAAATCCCAGTAACACTGATAAGATTCTCATATATTGTGAACTGACTGGAAATGCAGCAGGACCAATAATCTATGCCCAACTCTGGCTCTGCTGTCATAACAAATTATACAGTCAAAGGAACTGTATGTGTACTCCTTATGATACATACGAGCAATTCTAAGCATGACACATTGACAAAGGGTTAACAGTACTGTTTGTGTGTCATCCAAGTGTAACCATATTAGACAATCAAATGTTGGCTGTAATTCCAGATGAAGGACTACACTATGCTTAAAAGTCATATTAAAGATGGTTCACATGTTGAATGTCTAAGTATATTTTAAAGGATTTAAATGTGCAACTGTAACCCATTGCACATCACAGCACGCTTTCAGGTGGACTTTACTTCCAAGATACTTGTGCCAATAAAACTTTCAGGTGGACTTTACTTCCAAGATACTGTACTTGTGCCAATAAAGCCTGGACTGATTTAGGCTCTCTGGAATATGTACTTTTAATGCCAAAAATAGATTTGCTGCAGTTTAAAAGGTAAAACAGTGAAAAATCCTGATGTAGAACACTGTTCTCCATAGGAAAACCTTATTCCCAAATGAACAAACATATGCAACTATACAGTAAGTTAAGCCCCAATACCATGAAATTCTGCTCCTATGCTACATTTAAATACATAAAGATGCAGCTAATTGGACCAGTAGTACCTTACTTCTCAGGTCTGATTTTCTAAGGTAAATTAAAGAGTGGAAAGAATTTTTAAATATTGGCCTTACCTGGCAAATTTTTTCCCAGATCTCATCACAGCCAGCTTTTTCTTGAAAACTCAGGGCTAGATCATAATTCTCTGCTTCAGACCAAACAATCAAAGTATCCTATTTCAAAATGAAATACTATACTCATTATTTGATTCCATACACAATTATAATGGTGACACAACTGGGTTCAACATAAGGTTCACAAAACTGTCAGCAAAATGACTTCCATTGCTTCTGTTGAACTTGGTCTAAGATATCCCCCAAACAGTTACATTTTAGAGGAACAGATATTTAGTTAGCAATATTAATTCTCCAGTTTAATGTATATTATTATAGACAGTGTACATGAATTTATACAGGGACACTAAACAAGCAACAGTTTATAATATCTTGAAAATACACTTTATGTAGGAAAACAAAATTTTTGCAACACATACTGTCAACAATCTCTTTCCAGCGTAGCTGAAATGCAGCACTCATCATCAAACATTTAAAAACCAATCACGTATACTGGTGCCTCGACTTACGAACGCCCCTACTTATGATCATTTCAACTTACAAACATCTCCGGTCGCAAAATTTTGCTTCAACTTACAACCAGAGCTTCGACTTAAAACCAGAAAAAATGTGTGTACGGCGGAGAAAGCCTCGACTTTGAACTGCTTTCAGTTAACGTTGGTCAGTGAAGAGGCTGCTTGTCTGTACCTCATTTGCCCCAGTGGTTAGAGCGTGGATACAGAGAGATACTTCAGACTGCCTAGGCCTGTACTGTACATACTGTATTTTTTTTGCTTTTAATTTTTTTATTTTTGCTTTTTGGATTTTTTACTTTCTTTTTTAAAATAGGGAGACTACCTGTTCTGGGTGTGTGAGTACACTATTTACTATATAGGATTTTTGCAGTTTGTGTTTAGGCTAGGTGGGGGGTTATGTTTCTGTGCTCTGATGAGTATTGCAGTGTGTATTTAAAATGTGAAAATTAGACTATAACATTAAATTAAAATTAAATGTGAAAATTAGACTGTAATTTTAAAATGTAAAATGTATTTATTTATTTTTGCATTCTGTGGCTCTGTGGCTCCTAGGGTTTG